CCACTGTCTCTGTCATCACCTTTTTTCCACACACACTGTTTCCAGTTGGTCTGTGACACTGCACTATTCACACTTTCTCCTTTCTCTCCCTTAGGCCCCAGTCCTCCTTTCACACCCTTCATTCCGGGCGGTCCACTGCTACCATGTGACCCTTCATTGCCTTTATTTCCTTTTATTCCCATCATTCCAGGTGCACCATTTTTACCAGGTGACCCTTGATTTCCTTTTTCTCCTCTTGTCCCTATCATGCCTCTTGGTCCCTTGACACCAGGCTCTCCCTTGGCTCCATCTTTTCCCTGTTGTCCTTGCAATCCCGGGGACCCAGGAATTCCCGGCATTCCTGGTATGCCATTCGATCCTGGAATCCCTGAAAATCGCCGAGCAAAGATGGATTTCTGGAAAGAAAAAAAGGTAATTGGATCGACGTGCTAGATGGAGTGTTGAGTTAGAAAAATACAAAGACTACGCTTTCATCCATACAAACCTGTTTCGTGATTGCTCACTCATCAGGGGATTTTATAAAATAAAATCATAGAATAAAATAAAATACTCAATACTTAATACTGATCACTCTCACTTACACAATCATAAATTCTGGCAAAACAGATTTTTCACTGAATGGAAAATTAACTGTGTGTTTGTAGAGGTTTAACTGTTGTTCGGTGCCATAAAAAAGGGGTCATCACACGTTTTCTAAGCTATTTCAGGTTTTTTTTAATTTGTCATCACATTTAATTCAAGGTGTCCTAACACCTCCCCTGTGAGTAAACAGATTGGCAACCGCGTAGTGCAATTGCCTTGTGTGAGAGAGGCTTTCTCCCCACCTCCCCAGGCTAAGTAATACTAATGCGATCACAACAAATGATTAAACTGAAGTCCATGCGGCCGACTTTCAAAATTTTTAAGGTCGGATTTTCCGTTCCTTTCCAACCTTGATAGACCTTCTGGAGGTCAAGATGAAATGTGAATATGCTATCGAATACTCTGTTCGAAAAATAATGGATATCGAAATCTTAGAAGCGACGGAATAAGTTTCCGAGTCAACGATATTCCGATTCTTCGATGCGATGCGAATTATGGCTATAAAGTGAAACCCGAACTATAATGTATTTTCCGCTGTTATTCCAAGTAATTAGTTGCAGTTGCTTTCGTTTCACACCTGCCGCACCCACTATTGTACATTCTGTTTGACATGTATCTTCTGATTGGCCAGGTGTTAGTTCTTTGCTGTCTCTTGAGTCCCATTCACGCTTGCGGTTCCAATACAGTTTATTCATGTTTCTGGTTTACGCCCCCCCCCCCACTTCCCTTTTACCTCCTAACCCTAGTTTTCGTCATTGCCTTCAGCTTTCAGGCCGTAGAGACACTTCTGGCGACTTCTTCCGCTGCTTCAAATGCGGCAAATTTGGACACTGGGCTAAGGACTGTAGATCCTTTGCCCGGCCGGGAAGTTACCAGCCCCCTAGGTACAATTCATTCCCTGGAATGTCCTACAGCAAGCCAACCGCAGGCCAACCAATTCAGCTAGAGCTATGAAGATGCCTTGGCGCAGGTAGATCAAATTTCTCAGAATTACGAACTTGAAAGCGGACATTCATTAAGTGTTAAGGGTAATTTGAAGAATAGTTTAGCGTTCTGGAGATCTATAGGTGCTCCGGATTTCATTTTGTCTATTATTGAAAACGGCTACAGGCTGCCGTTCGTCACTTTTCCGTTGGCCGGAAAGCTTAAGAATAATAAGTCAGCTCGACTTCATCCTGATTTCGTGGACCAGGCTGTTCTTGAGCTTCTCAATTCTGATCGGGTTCGTATGGTTTATAAGCAGCCTTTTGTTGTAAATCCGTTGTCAGTTTCTATGCAGCCAGGCGGTAAGAAGAGATTAATTCTCGATTTGCGCCACGTCAATAAGTCCTTAATTAAGCAAAGTGTTAAGTACGAGGACTGGAAAATTGCTAGTCTTATTTTGCGAAATGAATGAAGGCTGATAGTTTCGAAAGAAACTGTTTGGGGCTGCGTCGGTGGGGGTAACGAAGTAATTTGGATATATCAACAAAGTTGAAATGGTAAATTGGCCACCGTAACGATTACAAAAGCTGACGTTTCGAGCGTTAGCCCTTCGTCGGAGCGAATAGAGGAATTGTGGGTTGTGTGTGCTTTTAAAGGCAGAAAATGGAGCTACGTTATTGGTGGGAACATGGCAACGAGAAAAACAAGAATAAATTAGTGGAATGAAAAGCGTTCGTTGATCCCTGTGGGATTTAGACTGCCGGTTTGAAAGATGAGCTTTTGTTCAAGATTTTTACGGCTTTCCGTGCTACCTAAGTGTAAGGAAAGACCGCAGATTGCCATATGTTGCTTAGAATGATTAGGTAAATTAAAATGTCTAGCGACTGGTTTCGATGTGTCCTTGTCATTCCTTTCCACGTCTCGAAGGTGTTCTCGGAATCGGTCACCTAGTCTTCTGCCTGTTTCGCCGATGTATATCTTTTTGCAATAAGTGCAAGTTATGCAATAGATTACATTGGCGGAGGTGCACGTGAAGTGATCGGTGATCTTAATGGATCGTNTTCTTGATGGCCTGTGGGGCCCGCATAGTGTAGATTGCTTTGCTAATTATTATAATCACAAGCTCCCCAAGTATTTTTCCAGGGTTTGGAACCCCAACACCTCGGGGGTTGATTTTTTCTTTCAATCTCTTCGGGGAGAAAATTGTTTAGTAGTCCCTCCAGTTGGTATCATCCCACGCGTTTTGCATTATCTCAAATCCCAACAGGCCATTGGTACGCTCGTTGTACCTCTTTAGCCTTCGGCTCATTTCTGGCCTATAATTGCACACAAGTATAGTCGTTATCTTGTGGCTCACAGTATTCGTATCGGGAATGAGGTTCTAACCCACGGAAGAAACCTTAATTCACTCTTAGGGTCTGATCTTTTCACAGGAAATATTATTGCCTTTAGATTGAAATTTACTGAGTAATTCATTGGACGGAGAGTCCACTAGTGTACTGTTCATCTATAAAGCAATGGCCCACTTATAGCCTATCATTTCATGTGGCGCTGTCTTAAACGGAGTATAGTTGATATATGCGGCGCTGGCCCAATCTATGGTTGTTGATTTACGCGGCTCTGGCCCATACGATAGTCTATCGTCTTACGGGGCACTGGCCCCAACAACGATTGAGTTTTGAACGGTTTCTAAAGGACGTTTTTTCTTTTGTTCTTTTTTGTTCGTTTAGTATTTATGCTTTGTTCTTGTCTTTCTAGATAATGCTATCAAGTAATTCCTGGAAAAGCTTTCAGCAATTTTCTTCAATCAACGTTTACGAGGTTCTAGAAGTTATATTGAAGTTCAGGGCGGATGCAACTACTAAAGCTTACATTCGTGTTATCAAAAAGTTTTTGGACTGGTCTAAAAGTAGACATTTCAACATGCAGTTACCTTTTCCTCTTAGTGTTGTTTCTCTATATCTATTTGAAGTTCAGCAGTCTTGCGCTTCTAGTTCCTCAGTTATTTTAGCCCATGCGGCCCTTAAATGGTTACATTCTTTTGTCCCTGGTTTGGATCGTAATCCTTTAGATAGTGAGTTTTGCAGGAATATCATCGAAGCTGCTAAACGCCAGAAGTCACAGCCAGTTATGAAAAAGAAGCCTATTACCACAAACATCATAAGGAGTATTTTAGATATTCATATCAAGAAAGATGCCAATTTAAAGAATCTTCGTATTGCTGCGTTATGCTCTTTCGCTTTCGCAGGATTTTTCGTCATGATGAATTATGCAATATTGTTCCTAAGCATATTGAATTTCACAGCGATTATATACGAATCTTCGTGCCTCGTAGTAAGGCAGATGTTATAGGGAAAGGAATTTCGTCTTTATTAGTGCATCCAGGTCTAAGTCATCTGTTGTGGAACCAGTGTATTGTAGGCAACATTTCTTGCACGAAGTCAAATAAATGATGTTCTTAGAATCACAGAAAAGTTACGATCGTATGTTGTAACTTTTGCCTGTTTAAAAACTTTTAAAGTGAATTCGATTCAACCAAGAAATTGCGAGAAAGATCGCATCTTGTTCTATTACATTTAAAACATCCCTTAACCTCAGCAGCTCCTTTTACAGTAATCCCTGTAGACATAAATTCAGTATCGCTCCTTAAGCAACCCATTTGTACCTACTCATCATCGCAGAAGAAAAGGTTCAGTTTTTAGCCGATTATCGTCGCTGGTTCGTTCTTATAGATCACAACTAATAATTAAGCAATGTAGGTGTTTAATTACTTCAGCGTATCACGATGATATTTAATGCTCAAGCACACAATTTCAATCTCGTGCTGATCTGAGGTAGCTGTTTCAGCGCTCTTTTGTATTAAAAATAGTTAGAGGTACACTTAACACAATTAAACAAAACTGAAAAGGCTTAAACGAGTTGTTTCTTGGCGATTCATAGCTAATATTTCGAAATTTGCTCTGGTAGTTCC